AAGATAAACAATTGGCTCAAAAGTGCTTTCAACGCAAACAATGTAAGCTCATACAAGAAATACTATCAAAATTTTCATAACTAAAATCTAGCGAATTCGAATCTTTTAAGATCGAAGCAGCAAATGAGAGAATCTTCCAATTGCTGAAAGATGCAGCCGATAACTTTTATAAAGCTGTATCACTTGATACTAATATTCAAGTTAAAGAAATTATGAATGAGCTTGAAGAACAAAAAGAACAGCTTTTGGCAATTAAGTTCATGATTGCACGAAAAGAAGTTTCGCCAAAAGAAGATATGAAAGATTTAAAAATTAATCCATTGGATATTAAAGATTGTAATGATAATACCTATATTGCTGGCATTAATATCCAAAAAAGGAAATATATTGTGGATGATGTAGTCGTAAAAAAAGCACCTATTTCAGACGAAAGGAAAATTGTTAAACAAGCAAAAATTGTCAAATTGCTTAACGCCTGTGACAATATTGAGAAATTGTAGGTATTTTTAACACTTTATACTCTTTGTTCTAGATATTAACTGTAATTGAACAATATAACATACAGCTACGGCATCTATGAAGAAGAAAATTGTCTTTTTGTAGTTACTAAATGGATGCAGAATGGGAACCTCCAAAATTATTTGGCTAATAATAAGCCGATTCGGTGGAAAACTAAACTTAAAATCGCAGTACAAATTGCCAATGGACTTACTTTTTGTAATGCATATGAAATTTATCACCGAGATGTTAGATGGTATGTACTTGTTGATTGGTCATATTGTGGATGATAATTGATTATTCACTGGGATACTGCGTTTATAACTAGAGACGCTTGTGAAATTTATCTCACCAACGGTGGTGAAATTAGCTCTAGTTTTATTTTGCAGTGTCTTTAATTATGATATGACACAATTTGATTGTCCGACATGTCTTACATGAACAATGAAGGCCACCTAATACAAATAACACTATTTTCACTCACCTCTTGAGAGACATGTGGAAATTTGTGTCTTTGTATTAGGAGATCGCCAAATGACTTACGCGGTGTTCACATAAGGCATGTCGAATAAATTTTTACTGCATAAGTTCTATTTTGGTAACAAAATTTTCTTTATTTTAGCAACAGCGTATTGATCGATGATAATTTAAATGCAAAGCTTACCAATTTTGAGAGTAGTCGGAAGTTTGGAGAAGCCTCACAAAAAATGTCAAGAGAAACGTTAAGGTCGCACACTTTTTAATGTAATTGTTATATCATATTTTTAAAATTTCGACTTACAAAGCTATTACAATAATTGCAATAATCAGATGGACTGCTCCAGAAAAGCTCAGATTCCCGGAATTGCCATACACTGATAAGTGTGAAGTATATAGGCAAGTATAATAATTCATAATTATTGGATGTGAAGATCCAATAATTCAAAACAACTTTTGAGTTATTCAGCAATCTCCTTATACGTTATATAAAAAATTCGTTCGTCTCGTAAGGAATGAGTAAAACTTTGTACAGTATGGGACATCCAATCTATATAGAGCGCTCAATCCTTGATGCTTACATCATCAAGTTGGATTGTAAATTAGCTTTGGTTAATCAATATTTTAAATGAGTGTGATCAAATTAAAAGTGGTTTTACCATATAAAAAGCTCTGGTGACAAATAGTTTATGATTTCGTATACATACTTATAGTTAGCGATGCAAATCGACTCATCGGCTCTATTGATTAATCAGTTTTTATTATACTGAATATACAAACTGAACGGGCCGTTTTGCATCACTACTTATAGTAAGCTCACATTGATGAAAACAAATTTTTTATTCACAGGTTTTAAATTGACCGCACTCAAATAAAAGCCCTCTGACAAAAATGTAGTATGACTAAGAATATTCAATTTGTTAGAGGATTTATTGTTTGACTTGTATTAAAAAAGTTATAATGATTTAAAGCTTTTACTAATAGAAAATAAATGTGATTTGCTGTCCGGTACTGTATAACACAAAGCTATATATTAGACAAAATTGAACGTTTGGATATCTTTGGATTGAAAGTCCAATCCAACGTCCATTCACGGTTCTTGACACTAAGTTTTGAACCAGATCCTAGTTCTAAATGATACATAAATTTCATTGCGTGTGAGGAGAGAAGGTCATTCAGCTCTTATAGTATTTGTTCAGCATCTCTGTCATAGTAGTAATTCATAAAAATTTAATTATAGTTTTGCCATTTTACTCTGGGAAATTTC